ATGAAAATTGCCAGTTTTAGGAATGACAGAAAGCATTAATACTCTAGTGCTTTGCCAACAGATTAGATAACTTAGAAGAAATGGGCAAATTTCTAGAAAGAAATATTCAAAACTGATTGAAGAAATTTTTTTTCCAATAGAAGAGGAAACAAAAAAACCCAAATAGATCTATAAGAAAAGAAATTAAAATAGTAATTAAAAATCTTCCCACAAAGAAAAGCCCAGGCCCAGGTGGATTTTATGAAAATGGCTCTTCCAAGGACCCCTTTGACCTTGCACATCTCCACAGGCCCTTCTGGCAGGTCTTGAAGGCAGGGTCTGACTTCAGTCTAACCCCAATTTTGGTGCAATGGCCTGTAATTCCTCCTGGAGCAAGGAGAGATAGATCTGATGAGGTTGAGGCAAGGCAATTTCTCAGTCCTATCTTGAGGGAGAGGGCCATCACCCTAATTTCAGTTGAGTGAAGAACTTTCCAGCTGGCACACCTTAGGATACATCTTTCTATTTATCTGGAAATCTATAAAAACTCAATATAGTTTAAAGTCTCTTTCTCCATAAAAACACTACTTGTTGTCTGTCAACTGCACTCTGGTCTGATGTCATCCAGTGGTCTAAGGGCATAGGGAGTTGACATAATTCTTAACTTGTTTTTGTTGTTTAAATACTAAATTACCTGCCTTCATTTAGGCTTGTTGTCTTTTCATACAATTAAACTATGAAATGTGTGAAGAGTCAACTTATCTCAGTAGTGCAAGGAGGCTTTAGCATTCAGATTCAGTTGATGTAATACAATCTGTCAGTTGAATAAAAGACAAAACTCACCTGATTACAATAGATGCAAAAAAAAAAGTATCTCAAAAATAAAACACACAATCACAAATAATCTATTAACAAATTGAGGAGAGAAGGTAATTGTTTGCCTGATAAAGGATATATACAAAACCTGATGGCTAAAACATATTGATTAAAGACTGAATGCTTTTCTCCTAACAGAGGGCAAAACACAAGAATGTCTGATCTTGATGCCTCATTCAACATT